CTCAGCCTCACTAGCCATCAGAGAGATGCAAATTAAAACCACAATGAGACACCACTTCACACCAGTCAGAATGCCCGTCATAACCAAATCAACAAACAAGTGCTGGAGAGGCTGTGGGAAAAAGGGAACCCTAGTGCACTATTGGTGGGAATGCAGACTGGTGCAGCCACTGGGGAAAACAGAATGGAATTTTCTCAGAAAACTAAAAATGGAACTGCCTTTTGACTTGGCAATTCCACTGCTGGGATTATACCCTAAGAATCCTGAAAAACCAATTCAAAAGAACCCATGCACCTGAATGTTCATAGCAGCCTAATTCACAATAGCCAAGTATTGGAAGCAACTTAAGTGCCTATCAGTATATGAGTGGATCAAAAAATTATGGTATAGAGACTTCCGGCCAAGATGGAGGTGTAGGTAGACACACTGTGCCTCCCTGAACAACGAAAATAAGGCCAACAACAATTTAGAAACAAAATAACAACCAAAACTGAGAGAAAATTGAAGTCTGACTGTATGGAAGTCTGACAACCAAGGAGTTAAAATACACACATTCATCCAGACCGGTAGGTGGGGCGGAGTTGGGTGAAGGAGCTGAGGGGGGTCGTGGCACAGGAAGCAGTGACACTGGGCATGCAAGGCACCTCAGTTATGCAAGACGGCACCGGGCAGACCCTGGGTGCCCAGGCAGAGGCTGGCAGATCCCGGGCATGGGGTGGCAATGGGCAGACCCAGCGAGGCAGCAGTGGAGAAGTGGGGCACCATGCTCAAGGTGGCTGGCTGATGGGGCAGTGGTCCCACATTCACACGCAAAAAACTGGGGAGTGGGACAGATCGTGCAACCCAGGGTACTAGCACCTGGAAATAAAGCCTCAAAACACTGCTTGAACATACCTGTGGGCGTTGAGGTGCAGGGAGAGACTTCCAGCCTCACAAGAGAGTTCGTTGGAGAGACTCACAGGGTTCTAGAATGCACACAAGCCCACCCACACAGGAATCAGCACCAGAAAGGCCCAGTTTGCTTGGGAGAAGCGGCGGAAGGGACTGAGGTGCAACAGAGAGTGGAGCAAAGCACCGCTGACCCTCTCTGACCCCGCCCCCACATACAGCGTCACAACCCAGCAACATGGGTTGCCCTGCCCTGGTGAACAGCTAAGGCTCTGACCCTCATACACAATAGTTGTGACCAGACCAAAAAAAAAAAAAAAAGATGGCTCAAACAAAAGAACAGATCAAAGCCGCAGAGCCATTACTTCTAAGTGACCAAGAGATAGCCAACCTATCAGATGCACAGTTCAAAACACTGGTGATCAGGTTGCTCATAAAACTTGTTGATTTTAGTGACAAATTAGATGAAAAAAAAATGAAGGCTACACTAAGTGAAATGAAGGGAAATGCACAGGGAACCAACAGTGATGGGAAAAAAACTGGGACTCAAATCAATGGAGTGGACCAGAAGTAAGAAAGAAACATTCAACCAGAACAGAATGAAAAAAGAAGAATTCAAAAAAATGAGGAGAGGCTTAGGATCCTCCAGGACATCTTTAAACGTTCCAACATCCGAATTATAGGGGTACCAGAAGAGGAAGAGGAAGAGCAACAAGTGGAAAACTTATTTGAACAAATAATAAAGGAGAACTTCCCCAATCTGGCAAAGGCCATTAATAGACTTCCAGGAAGTCCAGGAAGCTCACAGAGTCCCAAAGAAGGTGGACCCAAACAGGAACACACCAAGGCACATCATAATTACATTAGCCAAGATTAAAGAAAGGAGAGAATCCTAGAAGCAGCAAAAGATAAGGAGACAGTCAGCTACAAAGGAGTTCCCATCAGACTGTCAGCTGATTTCTCAACAGAGACCTTGCAGGCAAAAAGGGGCTGGAAAGAAGTATTCCAAGTCATGAAAGAAAAGGACCTACATCCAAGATTGCTCTACCCAGCAAAGCTTTCATTTAGAATGGAAGGGCAGATAAAGTGCTTCTCAGATAAGATCAAATTCAAGGAGTTCATCATCACCAAGCCCTTATTACATGAAATGTTAAAGGGACTTACCTAAGAAAAAGAAGATAAAAAAGATGAAGAGTGAAAGGACAGCAAACTCACAGTTATTAACAACCACACTTAAAATAAAAACAAACTAAGGAAACAACTAGAATAGGAACAGAACCACAGAAATGAAGATCACATGGAGGGTTAGCAACAGGGCAGTGGGCGGAAGGTACAGAGAATAAGTAGCATAGATGGTAGGCAGAAAACAGATGGGGGGCAGGCAAGAATAGTATGGGAAATGTAAAAGCGAAAGAACTTGTGACACATGGACATGAACTAAAGGGGGGGAGTGTGGGTGGAAGAGGGTGTGCAGGGTGGAGGGGAATGAAGGGGGGATATGGGACACTGTAATAGCATAATCAATAAAATATATTTTAAAATTATGGTGTATTTACACAATGGAATACCATGCTTCAGAAAGAAAGAAGGAGCTTCTACCCTTCAATACAGCGTGGATGGATCTGGAGAGCATTATGGTAAGTGAAATAAGCCAGGCAGCAAAAGACAAATACCATATGATCTCACCTATAAGTGGAACATAATCAACAAGACAAACAAGATGTGACATATAACCAGAGGCATTAAAATAAAGAACAAACTGACAAAAACCGGAATGCATGGGGAGAGGATAACCAGGTGGAAAAGGGGAAGGGTCATCAAGGGACATGTATAAAGGACCCATGGACAAATTCAAAGGGAGGTAGGATTGAGGGAGGGAGGAAGGTGGGGATGTGTGGAGCTGCGGGGAGTAGTGGGGGGAAAATGGAAAGAAGTTAGACCCAAGGAAGCACACACCAAGGTACATCATAATTACATTACATGAGATTAAAGATAAGGGCAGAATCTTAAAAGCAGCGAGAGAAAAGGAGACAGTTACCTACAAAGGAATTCCCATAAGACTGTCAGCTGATCTCAAAAGAAACTTTGCAGGCAAGAAGGGGCTGGAAAGAAGTATTTGAAGTCATGAAAGTCAAGGACCTACAGCCTAGATTACTCTATCTGGCAAAGCTATCATTTGGAATGGAAGGGCAGATAAAGTGCTTCCCAGACAAGGTAAAGTTAAAGGAGTCATCATCACCAAGCCCTTATATGAAATGTTAAAGGGACTTATCTAAGAAATAGAAGAACAAAATTATGAACAGCAAAATGACCACAAACTCACAACTATCAACAATTGAACCTAAACAACAAAAACAAAAACTAAGCAAACATCCAGAACAAGAACAGAGTCAGAGAAATGGACATCATATGGAGGGTTATCAGTGGGGAGGGGGAAGGAGAGAAGGGGGGAAAGTACAGGGAATAAGAAGCAAAATTGGTAGGTACAAAATAGACAGGGGCAGGTTAAGAACAGTATGGGAAATAGAGAAGCCAAAGAACTTATATATATAATCCATGGACATGAACTAAGGGGAAGAATAATGCTGGAGGGTGGGGTGGGGGTACAGGATAGAGAGGGGATAAAGGGGAGAAAAAATTGGGACAACTGTAATAGCATAATGAATAAAATATACTTAAAAAAGCTACAAAACCACTGCACACTGGTCCAAATGGCCATCATTAACAAATCAACAAACAACAAGTGCTGGTGAGGTTGTGGAGAAAATGGTACCCTAATACAATGATGGTGGGAATGTAGACTGGTGCATACACTGTGGAAAACAATGGAATTTCCTCAGAAAACAAAATGGAACTGCTTTTTGACCTGGCAATTCCACTGTTGGGATTATACCCTAAGAATTCTGAAACACCTATTCAAAAGAACCTGTGCACCCATAGTTTCATAGCAGTATTATTTACAATAGCCGAGTGCTGAAAACAGCCTAAGTGCCCATCAGTAAGTGAGTTGATCAAAAAACTGCAGTGCATTTACACAATGGAATACTATGCAGCAGAAAGGAACTCCTACCTTTCATGACAGCATGGATGGAACCGGACAGTATAATGCTAAGTGAAATAAGCCAGGCAGTGAAAGACAGGTACCATATGATCTCACCTATAAGTGGAACCTAATCAACAAAACAAACAAAGGAGCAAAAAGAACCAAAGATGTGGAAATAAAGAACAAACTGACAGTAACTAGAGGGGAGAAGGGGGGGACGATTGGGGGAAGAAGGGTAGAGTCAAATCAAGGAACATGTACAAAGGACCCATGGACAAGGACAATGGGGTGGGGATTGTCTTCGAGAGCAGGGGTTGAATGGGGCAGGTGAGAGCAATGGAGTGAAAAATGGAGACAACTGTAACTGAACAACAATACAAAAAATAAAATGGTTAAAAATGGTAAAACGAACAAACAAACAAACAAACAAACAAAAAACAACCCTAGTTCCACCATTGACAACTGTGATGTGGTGCAAGATTCTTAACTTCTCTGAGCCTTAGTGTTCCCAAGTGTAAAGGAAGAATTACTTGGAATTATTGAACTGTGTCACATCTTCATCAAATACTACTGTTTCAATGAATTCCCAAGTTGTAATTTTCCTTAATACTTATTGGCAAGATGGAAGATAAAAAGAATTTTTGAAATGCCTTTTCCCTAAGACAAGAAATCCACATTTAGTATCTATTCAAATAAAAATAATGCTATAAAGCCCAGTCATACCCAAAATAAATATAATTAATTTATGATATCACAGTATTATTTCAGTTATTCATGCTGCATATCTTTGGAACATGTGTTGGTAGAGTACAAACAGGCCTTCCTCTCTGACATACTCTGTCTCAATCTGCTTTTGTACTCTGATAGCTGAATGTCACTTGAATGGTATACCTTTGACTTGGATGTTTTTACAGAGGATGAGCAGAAACAGCAAACCAGATGAACAAAACTGTAATGAAAAATGCTCAGAAAAATGATAAGGTGGAATGGGTCACCTTAGAGAGCAGTACATGGCTGTCACTGGAAGTATTGAAACAAAGTTTAGGAGGGTACCTATGAGCTTATGTACCTTAAGCCAGGGGTGATTCAGTGCTTCATAGACAGTGATCCTTTCAGCTGGATCCAGCATCAGCATGCGACGCACTAGGTCTTTGGCACTTTCAGAGATATGGCTCCACTGCCTTGGATTCATCTGAAGAGGTAGAAAGGAAAATGACAGTTATTTTCACTGAAAAGTAACATTCACTATTATTTAATATTCCTATACTGCTTCAATGTCATTGAAATTCTCAGAGAAAATAATAGAAATCTAATTCTAAAGGCTTGTTTTCTAAGAAAGAAGACAAATATAATTCTTTTGTTTTAGTTTCTCATTATGAGATTTTGTATCACTTAAGTATTCCTTACATATATTCTTATTGTTATATGTTATAATACTTTTACTAATGGAAAAATAGAATGTTTATGATTACAGTTTCTACCTCAAAAGGACTAGAATACTTTGACCTAAAAAATAAAAATAAACTTTAAAAATAAAAAATTTTAAAGAAGTATTTTTATATTTTGGTTGTAATTGGGATCAGCAGTAATTTTAAATCTATAACAAGTTATTAATAGGATATTTTGGTCACTGTATATCAATTTCAGTCTTTAGGGAAAAATATGCTGTTACCATAGATGTTATGAAATAACCAGTTCACTTGTATACTGCCCTCAGTAAAATTACTTTTGTCCTGTTTTTAGAGACAACTAAGCCACAAAGTAAACTAATTAAAGTCAAACAAAAAAAATTGAGCTGTTCAAAAGACTCAGGATTTATGAGAAGGGCTGTGGGTCTGTGAGGAAAAAAGCTGAAAGCTCCTGGAAAAGGGGCAAATCTGAGACCAGAAACCAGAAAAAAATGCAAAGGAATGTTTTGGGTTTGGGGTTGGGAAGGCAAGTAGGTCAGGGGAATAGAGATGGAGGAGGAGGATCTCATTCTCTATTTAATATCAGGAAGCTGACTGATCAGTAAGCTTCAGTGAGCTGCCTGATCCCAGGAACTTTAAGCAATGCTATGACTTTAACTTTCAAAGGGAGAAAGATGGATAATAAAGCCCATAACAATTTAAAATCAAATGAAATCACAACTTGCATTACAGTATATATGAAGCATTACAATTTGGTCAGCATTAGCCACTCCGCTTTGGCTAATGTGAGGCTTTGTACTTGTAGATGGGGAGTGAAAAATGTCTCCAGGTTAGGGAGGGGCTAGTGCTTAAAATTGGAGGATGTTCCATTTTCTTTTTCTAACAGGCAGAATTCCAAACGATAGTCACTTCTGCTTGTCAGAGCCCATTACAACAAATGCCATGAGGTTGTTAAAATATTGTCATCCTACTGAAATTGTGATCAACTGACCAGTTTGAAATAAGGAGGTGAGTGATTAAAGGGGAGTTAGATAGCCTTGTTCCCTGCTCCCCATACTAGAGCTGTTGTACTCTTGAAATTCTGAATGATTAGTTCTTGGGGAAGGGTTTGAGAAATCCTCTGACAGGGGTGGTAATATTTCTGGAGTATAGGTTGAGAAGTATACTTCCCATCCTTTTTTTTAAATTAAAATTAAAATTTAATTTTATTGTTGTATTGGGGAGCCAGATCTACGGTTTCCTCTTCCTTTGGCTCAAAAGAGTAGCTAAAACTATTTTGGGAGGTTGACTATATAAGGGGGGAACTAAACAAGGCTATAAAACAGTCACTTATTTATTGGGGGGGGTGGACTGGGATGGGAGTAAAAGACAGAAAACTGTTCTTGAACAATAATTAAATTAAAAAATAAAAATACAGTAAAGTAAAAGAAAACAAACAAACAAACAAACAAACAAACAAACAAAACAGTCACTTATTTAAATACAAAAGCCAGGCAGCTTAGACTTCTGCTGTGTAGATACCAACTGGCTACCTGTAGTAATGATAGAAGATGATAGTGTCCTTTATTAAAAAAAAAGTTAATTGAACAGGCTTATAGATACAAACTGAGGGGTGCCAGATGAGAGGGAGGTTAGGGGGCTGGGTGAAGAAGGTGAAGAAATTAAGAAATAAAAATTTGTAGAGCAGAGGGAGGGGAGGGGAGTAATGGGGAAAAGCAGGGGAAGGGACTATGTAGTGAAGCAGGCATCCGAGGGCCCCCTCAAGGGCATCCTGGGCTATACCGAGGACCAGGTTGTCTCCTGCGACTTTAACAGTGACACCCACTCCTCCACCTTCGATGCTGGGGCTGGCATTGTACTCAATGACCACTTTGTCAAGCTCATTTCCTGGTATGACAATGAATTTGGCTACAGCAACAGGGTGGTGGACCTTGTGGTCCACATGGCCTCCAAGGAGTAAGAGCCCCATGGACCACCAGCCCCAGCGACAGGAAGAGACCCTCAGCTACTGGGGAGTCCTTGCCCCAAATTGATCCCCCAACACACTGAGAATCCTGACCTCCAGTTTCCATCCTAGATCCCCTGAAGAGGGGAAAGGCTTAGGGAGCCCTGCCTTGTCATGTACCATCAATAAAGTTCATTGCACCCCCATCCCCCAAGAAAAAAGAGGATGCATGGGTATGGAAAATGGGGGGGATTGACACTGGGGGTGGGGGACGGGGGAGAGATGACTGTAACTGAACAACAATAAAAAAAACTGGTGGTTACAAAGTGGTCACGGGGATGTAAAATACAATGTAGGGAATATAGTTGATAGTATTCTAATAATTACGTATGGTGCCAGGTTGGTACTAGATTTATTGGGGGTGGGGAATCACTCCATAAATTATATAACCACCTAACCACTATGCTACATACTTGAAACTAATGTAAAATAATGCTGAATGTCAACCATAATTGAAAAAAAGTTAACTGAAATTAAATGTTAGAACATATTCCAGTTAAATAGTGTTTTCTCACATCCACTTTAAAAGAACAAGTAAGCTAGCAAATGAGGATAAAAAGTTAAACTAAAATAATTTAAGACCAGTAGTAGTTTATAAACTGTGACAACTGAAATGTACTACATTTAAAAGATACAGAAAATTTCTTCTCAATACCCATTGAGATCTAGGACTTTGTTAACAGTTCTTCTGTTAAGTACCCCCAAGGTGATAAAAGGATATTTTTGAGATCTGCTTAAAAAAACCTGGTAGTACGTGGAATATGGATAAAACAAGATGGGCTGCATGTTGCTAAGTATTGAAGCTAGGGGTTCATTATATTGTTTATCTCTACTGTTTTTATTTGTTTGAAATTTTTAATAAAAAAGTGTAAACATTAAGGACTGACGGAATCACAGCATACTATACTTAAAAAAATAAGATCCACCAGGTTCATCACTGATGATAGAGATGGATCTATACTTCAAACTGAGCTGCTGAAAACCTGGAGCTTTTGTGAGAAAAGCCATGAATAAAAGCAAGAGGTGAGGTTAGCCAAGTAAGAGCATGAACAAATTATTAACCTAAAGCTTTAAACCTTCAGGTACAGAAATTATGATATAGCTGCCACCATCCATCTGACTTACTATAATAAGAACAGGAAATTTTGAAATAATTTGACTTTTGTACATGTGTGAACAGTCCAAGTTTTTTTCCCAGAGAAACAAAAATAACTATTCAATGCCTTAAATATAGACAAAATCAAATACCAGAAGCAGTTGGAATGAAGCACACTGCCTTGGAAACAAGGAAGTTAGCAAATGAACAAACACAAAGGAAGAATTCTATTATTAGCAAATGCTTATAACTCAAAAAGGCAGGTGGGAGATTTTATTATATGGTACCTACGTCATAAGTCACTGTGAGGATAAAGTGAGTTAAATATAAGTATTTAGAACAGTTCATGGCACAAAGTAAGTACTACGTACAAGTTAGCTATCCTTGTTGCTAGTATTATTATTATTATGCTGATGCATTACTAATTGTGCTTATTTTCATGTTAGTATCTGTGATTTCACTTGGCAAAGTTCAACCACAAAGCCACAGTGTGCATTCCTGATAGCCATTCACAATTTCCAGGGATTGAAGGGGGATGATTACTTACAAGCAGTTTCGTGAGACACTGAGTTACCTTGAAAGACTGATTTTATTTCCCAGTGGTCAACTGACTCTAAGAGAAGCAGAAAAACCTATACTTAAAACATCTCTCTCTGTTAACAGAGTTTTGGCATATATCTTAACCCAAATAAAAGACAAACCTGTATGCCTTTATAAGCTGATGGTCTATAGGCAAAAAAAAAAAAAAGTATAAACCAGTCTTAACTACAGAAGCTTCAGTTTTGGCTTAAAAGAATAAGGCTGTTACTCTAAAATTATTTTGCCTTTCTTTTCTTTTTTCCAAGTGCGATATAAAATCCTAACATTACTGAAGAATTGAAAAGAAAATTTTAGGGACCTCATAGTTTTAGAGTCTAGTGTTATATAAATCCATGTGTTTGGTTTTATGTTGCTAGGCATGGCTGAAAATGAAACAGTAGTTCTGTTGAGTAGCAAGTACAGGTTTCAGTAAGAATGGGAGGAAAAAGAACTTCACCAACATCAGCCGCCCTGATCTAATACGCAGATATACTCCCCCATGTTTCCCATACACAGCATCATCCTATTCTGTCAGCCATATGTGGTGGGACGTGGCTAAACAGTTTAAGAGCTGGGGTAGTGAGGTCAACCTTAAGTTTGCTGATTTCCAAGAACTCCTTAGGTCTTTTTGGTATCACTATTCATAAAGTCAGTAATGACTTTTTACTTTTAAATAATGCAAGTAATAATACACTAATAAGAAGTTTGTAAATTGTACATGTGGTTTCCAATCCATATTAGCCAATGAAAAATATGAGTAAGTCACACCAAGATGGCTCCAAATTATATTATGGACTATAGTTGTGATATTGGCATTTAGTTGTTTATTCTGGAATGTAAATGGCAAATTTTTCAGCTGTGCTGGCTGACTACATAAAATACAATAAAGTGTGATAAAGCAAAAACAAATAAAGGTTGATAGACACTGAATATAAAATAATTACTCAAATTACCTGGATGAAATTTCCATTTTAACTTTATAAACTAAACCAAATGTTTAAAAAATTAAGACTGCTTTAAAAAATTACACAAAGAAGTTCACTTTCCAGATTAGCCTAAATAAATGAGTTTGGCCACCAGACAGTTAATAATACTTTTATTTTTTTAATTTAATCTTTATTATATTTTTCCATTACCATTTATCCCCCTTATACCTCCTCCCCCTGCAATCACCACACTATTGTCCATGTCCACGAGCCCTTTTTCCTTTTCCCTCAATCCCTACACCCCCTTATCCTCCCCCCACTATCTGTCATCTGTTCTCCATCTATGAATCTGTCTCTGTTTTGCTTGTTAGTTCAGTTTGTCCATCAGATTCCATATATGAGTGAAATCATATGGTGTTTGTCTTTCTCTGACTGGCTTATTTCACTTAGCATAATGTTCTCCAGGTTCATTCATATGTTGCAAAGGGTAAAATTTTCTTCTTTTTTATGACTGAGTAGAATTCTATTGTGTAAATATGCTAACACATACTTTTATATCTGGGTTCATGTCTGCCAAAAAAGAAACTTACTCAGGGTAAAATAAAAAGTCAAATTCTATCACAATGAATTCTAAGGATCATCCCAGTTTTTTCCCCTGAACTACAATTTTATTTGAAATCAGTAGGGCACTAACCAAACAATTTCTTTAACCTAGCTAAATGAGCAGTGTTTCTAGAATACATATTTGTGGATAAAGAATTCAATTTGTAGTAGATGCGGTTTGTGAATCTGAGGGCCCAGGACTCTTAAAAGAGTTGACTTGCACATGGGGGAAAGAGGGACATCTATTTGGTCTCTGGTTTTTACACTGTATGAAAGAGAACTAGGATCCCTGTTTTCTAGCCTAAACACAGAGATGGGATCTAAACAGGGCAGAGAGACTTTAGCTGTAGCACAGAGAAAAGGAAAAGGGAGGGGCAAGGTAATGGTTTTAAAGCCAGTCCCCTTTCTTCTACTTAGATGGCTGTTTAGCAGATAGTGACTCAGAAATTTACTTGTGGCCTATGTTGCCCACCAAGGCTAGTGGGTAAATGATGTAAGCAAAAAACTTTTCTGTGACTTGGTAAGTATGTGACAATCAATAAGCAATCCAAAGACAGTTACTTGAAAACACATTTTTCAGAATAATTTCATCTCAATGAAAAAAGTAAAACATTCATAATATATTACCTTATATTTTCCTTTAATAATGCCTTCAAACAATCGTTCCTTGGTTCCATAAAAAGGCAAACAACCACTTAGCAGGATAAAAAGGATCACACCACAACCCCAGACATCTACGGGTTTTCCATAAGGCTCTCTTTTGACAACTTCTGGGGCCATAAAATGAGGTGTTCCAACACGTCCTACATTTAGAACAACATCAAGGAAAAAACATTTACATTAAATGAGCTTGTTTCCCCATTTAAAAACTGAAAATAATACAACCATAACAGTCTGAATGAAAAGTTTAACAATATGAATATTCCCTCACTACCTCTGCCCCCTCCATAAAATCAGGTTTGCAGAAGGAAATGAATTATTTATCTAATCACTTCTAATATTAGTACTTCCTATTGAACTCAGTAGTACACAGCAAGTGTTTCTTGTTTCATGAGGCTGTTTAAATTTTCTAATTTTCACAAGTTAAAAAGTAAAAATAATATAGAACAGAGGCAATTGGAAGAGTCAGCAAGCAGAGTGTGGCTGCCTAGCAAAGAGCTGGGAAGGCCTGGCCTGGGCAGGGGCAGGGGCAGGGAGGGGATGGATGGCACAGGAGTGAGGAAACAATTTTTGGAGAAAAAGATTATTTTTAATTGCTGAATGGAAATTCTCAAATTAAAACTAATGCTGAGAACTTTAGAGTATGAACTTGAATCTGAAATCCTGTTTAGATTTTAGGTGTTGATTATAGCAATTAGTAATGATTGGTAATATTTTGTTGCAAGATTTTTAAAGTTTCCCTCTAATGTTAAATTTGAAGAGAACGAACACAAATACATGACATAAACCACAATCAGAAACTCTTCTATTCAATACTTTTTGACCTTCATTTTTTGGTTATGTATTTCTTTTATTGAAAACCCACACAAGTTTAGGTGTGTGAATAATAATTCCATGAATCATAATTGTACAAATGTAAATTTTTTTTCACAATGAACATTTGTAACCTGCACCAAGACCAAGAAACAGATCATTTTTCCTTTTTTTAATTGTTGTTGAATTACAGTTGTCCCCATTATCCCATTACTCTCCTCTGCCCTACCCACTCCCACCTCCCATATTAAATTCTACTCCCACCCCTGTTATCTTTGACCATGAGTCCTTTGCACATGTTCCTTGATGAACCTTCCCCTTCTTCCCCCCATAACCCCCCTCTACCTTCCCCTCTGGTCATTGTCAGTTTGTTTCTATTTCTATGTCTCTGGTTCTATTTTGCTCCCTTGTTTGTTTTGTTGATTTGGCTCCATTTATAGGTGAGATCATATGGTATTTGTCTTTTACCAAACGGCTTATTTCACTTAGCATAATGCTCTCCAGTTGCATCCATGCTGCTGCAAAGGGTAGGAGCTCCTTCTTTCTTTATGCTGCGTAGTATTCCATTGTGTAAATGTACCACAATTTTTTTATCTACTCATTTACTGATGGGCACTTAGGATGCTTCCAACACTTGGCTATTGTAAATTGTGCTATGAACATTGGGGAGCACAGTTTCTTTTGAATAGGTGTTTCAGGATTCTTAGGATATATTCTTAGTATATAATACCAGCAGTGGAATTGTTGGGCCAAAAAGCAGTTCCATTTTTAGTTTTCCGAGGAAATTCCATACTGTTTCCGACAGTGGCTGCACCAGTCTGCATTCCCACTAACACTGAGCTAGGGTTCCCTTTTCTCCACAACCTCACCACAATTTGTTGTTTGTTGATTTGGTTACAATGGCCATTATGACCAGTGTGAAGTGGTAGCTCATGGTGGTTTTAATTTGAATCTCTTTGATGGCTAGTGATGCTGAGCATTCTTTCATATGCCTCTGGGTCCTTCGTATGTCCTCCTTGGAGAAGAGTTTGTTGATTCATTGCCTATTTTTTAACTGGATTGTTTGTCCTCCAGGTGTGAAGTTGTGTGGGTTCTTTATATATTTGGGGGATCAAGTCGTTGTCTGAGGTATCATTTGCAAATATATTTTCCTATACAGTTGGTTTCTTTTCCATTTTGCCGATATTTTCTTTAGCTGTGCAGAAACTTTTTAATTTGATGAAGTCCTATTTGTTATTTTTTCCTTTATGTCACCTGCTCTAGGGGATATATCGGTGAAAATACTGCTGCATGGAATATCTCAGATTTTCATTTCTATGTTCTCCTCTAAAACTTTTATGGTGTTACAACTTACATTTAAGTCCTTTACCCATCTTGAGTTTATTGTTGTGTATGGTGTAAGTTGGTAGTCAAGTTTCACTGTTTTGCTTGTAGCTGTCCAGATCTACCAACACCATTTGTTGAAAAGACTAATTTTAATCCATTTTATGCAGCTGCCCCTTTGTCAAATATTAACTGACCATAGAGACATGGGTTTACTTCTGGGGTCTCTATTCTGTTCCATTAATCTATTCGTCTGTTCTTATCCCAGTACCAGATTATTTTGATTACTGTGGCCTTATAATATAGTTTGATGTCAGGTGTTGTTTTTAAAAATATATTTTACTGATTATGCTATTACATTTGTCCCATTCCCTCCTTCATTCCCCTCCACCCTGCACCCACCTCCCACCCATATTTCCCCCTTTAGTTCATGTCCATGTGTCCTAAGTTCTTTAGCTTCTACATTTCCCATACTATTCTTGCCCCCGTCTATTTTCTATGCTACTTATTCTCTGTACCTTCTCCCCGCTTCTCCTCCTCCCACTCCCCTGTTGCTAACCCTCCATGTGATCTCCATTTCTATGGTTCCATTCCTGATCTAGCTATCCTCTTAGTTTGCTTTTGTTTTAGATGTGGTTGTTAATAACTATGAGTTTGCTGTCCTTTAACTGTTCATATTTTTATCTTCTTTTTCTTAGATAAGTCCCTTTAACATTTCATATAATAAGGGCTTGGTGATGATGAACTCTTTGAATTTGATCTTATCTGAGAAGCACTTTACCTGTTCTTCCATTCTAAATGAAAGCTTTGCTGGATAGAGCAATCTTGGTTGTAGGTCTTTGGTTTCCATGACTTGGAATACCTCTTTCCAGCCCCTTCTTGCCTGTAAGGTCTCTTTTGAGAAATCAGCTGACAGTCTGATGGGAACTCCTTTGTAGGTGACTGTCCCCTTAGCTCTTGCTGCTTCTAGAATTCTCTCCTTCATTTTAATCTTGGCTAATGTAATTATGATGTGTCTTAGTGTGTTCCTCCTTGAGCCCACCTTCTTTGGGACTCTGTGAGCTTCCTGGACTTCCTGGAAGTCTATTTCCTTTGCCAGATGGAGCAAGTTCTCCTTTATTATTTGGTCAAATAAGTTCCACTTGTTGCTCTTCCTCTTCCCCTTCTGGTACCCCTATAATTTGGATGTTGGAATGTTTAAAGATGTCCTGGAGGTTCCTGAGCCTCTCCTCATTTTTTTGTTGAATTCTTGTTTCTTCATTCTTTTCTGTTTGGTTGTTTCTTTCTTCCTTCTGGTCCACTCCATTGATTTGAGTCCCTGTTTCCTTCCCATCACTATTGGTTCCCTGTGCATTTCCCTTCATTTCACTTAGTGTAGCCTTCATTATCTAATTTGTGACCAAAATCAACCAGTTCTGAGAGCATCCTGATCACCAGTGCTTTGAACTGTGCATCTGATAGGTTGACTATCTTTTGGTTGCTTAGATGTATTTGCTGTGGGGCTTTGATCTGTTCTTCCATTTGGGCCATTTTTTTTTATCTTGTCACACCTGTTGTGTAGCAAGGCTTAGGTGTTCATCAGGGCAGGGCAACCCAGTCACTGGGTTGTGACGCTGTATGTGGGGGCGGGGTCAGAGAAGGAACAATGGCACTTGCTCGGCTCTCTTGGATTTCAGTCCCTTCTGGTACCTCCCACAAGCAAATTAGGCCCTTCTGGTGCTGGTTCCTGGGTGGGTGGGCTTGTGTACATTCTAGGACCCTGTGGTTCTCTCCGACAAACTCTCCTGGGAGGCTGGGAGTCTCTCCCTGCACGTCAACCCCCACAAGTGTTTTCAATTGGTGCCTTTAGGCTTTATTTTTCTGGTGCTGGGGCCCTGGGTTGCACAGTCTGTCTCGCTGCCTGTTTTCACCTAGTTTATCTGTGCATGAATGTGTCACTGTGGTCAGCCAGCCACCTTGCGCGCCTCACTTAGTCTGCTTGTTGCCACCCTGCACCCGGAGTCTTCCGGCCGCCACCTGCATCCCTCGGGTATGCCAACCATCACCTGCATGCCCGGGTCTGCTAGCCACCACTTTTCCCTGCCAAGACCCCTCTCTGCTGGCCGCTGACTCCACCTCTCTTACTAGTCTGGATAAATGGCTGATGCACTTCCATACAGTTCAATTTTCTGTCAGTTTCTGGGTGCTTTTTTGTTTCTAAATTTTTGTTGTCCTTAATTTTGGTTGTGCGAGGAGGCACAGTGTGTCTGTCTATGCCTCCATCTTGGGTGGCAGTCCTGATGTCAGGTATTGTAATTCCTCCTACTTTGTTCCTCTTTCTCAAAATTGCTGTGGCTAGTCAGGGTCATTTATGGCTCTATATAGATTTTTTAAATGTTTGCTCTATACCTGTGAAATATGTCATTGATATTTTAATAGGGATTGTGTTGAATCTATAAATTGCTTTGGGTAGTATGGTCATTTTGATGATGTTAATTCTTCCAATCCATGAACGTGGTATATATTCCCATTTATTTGTGTCTTCCCTAATTTCTTTCTTCAGTGTTGTGAAGTTTTCTGAGTATAGTTTTCTTTTACCTCCTTGGTTAGGTTTATTCCTAGGTACTTATATATTTTTTGTTGCTATAGCAAATGGGATTTCCCCCAATTTCTGTTTCTGATATCTTTGTTAGTGTACCAAAATGAGTTCGATTTCTGAATATTGACTTTGTATCCTGTTGTTTTGCCAAATTCACTTATTAGGTTGAGTAGTTTCTTGGTGGAGCCTATAGGGTTTTCTATATGCATTGTCATCTGCAAATAATGACAGTTTTACTTCCCCTTTCCAATGTGGATGCTTTTTATTTCCTTTTCTTGTTTGATCTCTGTGGCTAGAACTTCCAATACTGTGTTGAATAGAAGTGGTGAAAGCAGATATCCTTGTATTGGTCCAGATCTTAGTGGGAAAGCTTTTGTTTTTTGCCCATTGTGTATGATGTTGGCAGTGTGTTTTTCATGTACGGCCTTT